TTTTTTTTTTTTTTTTTTTTTGACAAACAGCCTCAATTCTAGCTACAGGAAAAAAAAATAAAAACCCAGTGGCCTAGCTCAGTTGGTTAGGCACGCAAGTGACATTCAGAAGGTTGTGGGTTCGATCCCCATAACCCCCTGCGGTGCACTTAGTGCCAACCAGCTATGATAGTCCGTTCGATACGTCTGATCGATAGCAATGTCTGATCGATATCAATGTCTGATCGATAGGGTCTTTGGCCAACACGGGTGTGAGTGCGCGTGTGAGTGGGTTGTTTGCGGTGTGTGGGAGAGTGGGAGAGTGTTGGATTTAGACACACTGCTATTCGATTGGGGGTGGGGCAGTGCAGGCCTGTTGTACGGGGATGGGCCGTACAATCTTCCGTACGACCGTTCGTAGAGCCGTACGTACGGCCTTTGACGCCCCCTACATGGCCTTCCAGGGCGGGGGGGGGGGGGCGCCGGGGCGGGAAACTGAAGGCCTTGGGGGGGTGTCGGGTGTCGGGGGGTACCCCACCCCCCATCGAGGGAAAAAAATAATAAAAAATCTTATTTTTCAACTTTTTGGGATTTTTTTTTTTTTTAATTTAATGAATTGATTGATTGATTGATTGTTTGATGGGTTGTTGATTGATTGATTGATTGATTATAAAACAAAAGAACAGAAACAAAACGCGGGCGAACACACAAACATGAGCACACACGCACTCACACACACACACACACACACAAACGGGCGCACACACACCCACGCGCACAGCCACCCGCACACACACGCGCGCATACACGCGGACACACACACACACACACACACACACACACACACACACACACACAGAGTCGGTGAAAGTCCGACGACGAAACAGTCTGTTCGGTACAGTCATGCTTTTTTTGAGCGTATAGCGAATATGACAACACACAAATACACACGCGCAAACACACACACGCGCAAACACACACACGCACACATACACACACACGCACACATACACACACACTCACACACACACACACACTCACACACACACACACACTCACACACACACACACACACAAATACACACACACATACACACTCTCTCTCTCTCTCTCTCTCTCTCTCTCTCGCGCGCGCGCGCGCGCGCGTGCAGGTAGAGATAGTTAGAGACAGAGGGAGCCGCTCCCTCACACGGCCGCGCGGCTCTTTTTTTTTTTTTTGAAATAATTTACGAATCAATCAAGCTATCTATCAGGCAATCAATCAAACACTCAACCAATCAATCAATCAACAATCGATGATCCATCAATCAATCAATCAATCAACCAATCAATATTTTTTCTTTGTTGGGAAATTAGGGAAAACTGGCAGTTTTCCCAAACTCCTGAAAATTCGGAGGCCCGGCCCGACGACGGCTGCCATTGATAAATCTCATTGGCGGCGGTCGTTTGGTTCGGCCATCCGAAAAGGTCGGAGGCCCACCCGAGGCCCGCTATTTTCCCACGCGGCAAAGGTACTAGTGGTTGTAGAGCTTTTCTGTTCTACACCCCCCCCCTTCTTTTTTCTTGCATTTTATTTCCCCGCAAATGAGGCATTGTACGGGCATCGTCCGTACGCCCGTACGCCCCACTGGACGTCCATTAGGACACCCCCGGTACGGGTGGGGGACAATGAAAAGGGAGGCGCAGCTACTGGCAAAATGCTTGGTCTTTGTGTCAGCCAGACCCCCACTGGCGGCCGCACCCCATCTCTGACTACCGCTGTTGGTGGGGGGGGGGGGACATGGAATCCCTTCATTGTGAGGTAGCTATGCTTGCAGGGGTCCCCTCTATATAGCCAGTGGTAGGTAGGTATTGAAAGGCAGAAAAGAATTTGAGAGAAGAATAGAGTAGTGTAAACTTTAAACCACAAGTACTTGGCCCAACTATAGATGCGGAGCCTGGAATGCCTCTGCGCGTTTTGCCCAAGGCGCGGCAGCTGGGCCAAGTACTGGTGGTTTAAAGGGGGGAAAAAAAGAAAAAAAAATCCAGCGGTCTAGCTCAGTTGGTAAGGCACGCAAGTGGCATTCAGGGAGGTCTTGGGTTCAATCCCCATTGGCCTCATGTACCTTCCTGGGCAAGTTTGGAGCCCACCACCTAGAGATAGCCGGCCTGTTGGTCCCCCAGAGCGGCGTTGAGCACTGACTGCTGATGTCCGTAGGGGACCGGACGGGAGGCACAGCAACTGGCCCATGGAAGAAGCTCAGTCCTGATGCTACCAGCTGACCCCTGGATGGTATCGCCCACCTGCAGGTCGGGTGCAGCCCCCCCATGTTACCTTGTTGGCGGGTTGTACTCGTGCTATCTACGGGGTAATACTACAATGACAAAAACAGAAAAGGCCTGAAAGGCCGTCCTGTTGAGACTGGACAGGTACTTGAATTGATTGCGCTCGGAAAAAAAAAAAAAAAACCTGGAAAAAAGAAGGGGCCAGAAGCTGTATCAAAAATTTCCCGGGAAAGAAGGTAGAAGCTCCTGCCTGGATAAGCTGAAGCTGTAGAAGGCTTGGTTCATGACTGTGGAGCCTTCCACCGCTGTAGGTAGAACTTTTTCTTTTTTTCCCCCGGTGGTTTCCCATAGTTAGGACCCCCTGTTCGCTGTCTCTCTTACCCGTTCCCCCCCCCCCCCCCCCCCCCCCCCCCCCCCCCCCCCTTTCCTTTCTTTTTTTTTTTTTTTTTTTTTTTTTTTTTTTTTTTTTTTTTTTTTTTTTTTTCTGGGCCTTTCCTTTCCTTTTAGCTGGTTACTAGGGAGTATTAGTTTTTCTCTCGTCTGGATCATGTTGGATTTCAGGCCTTGTTCGATTTCTTATGTTTATGGATTGTGTGGCTTTCAGGCCTTGTTGGGCTCTTTTCTTTCCCATGTCGCTTCGAACCGATGTCCAAGCCCAACAAGAGCCCAACAGATTCCATCCAAATAAGAGCGAAACAATGAACTCGTGAGCCAATGTCCAAGCCCTCACGAGTTCATTCCAGGGCTCTTGTTGGGCTCTTTTCTTTCCCAGAGCTTTGACTTCCAGGGCTCTTGTTGGCCTCTTTTCTTTCCCAGAGCTTTGACTTCCAGGGCTCTTGTTGGGCTCTTTTCTTTCCCAGAGATTTGACTTCCAGGGCTCTTGTTGGTCTCTTTTCTTTCCCAGAGCTTTGACTTCCAGGACTTTGGGAGCCGAGCCGGGGAAGTCAAAGCTTTGACTTCCAGGGCTCTTGTCGGGCTCTTTTCTTTCCCAAAGCTTTGACTTCCAGGGCTTTGGGAGCCGAGCTGGGGAAGTCAAAGCTTTGACTTCCAGGGCTCTTGTTGGGCTCCTTTCTTTCCCAAAGCTTTGACTTCCAGGGCTCTTGTTGGCAGCGGCTCGGATTCTGCAGTATTCATTGTTTCGCAGAATTGTTTCACATTCTGCTCCTAGATTTATGTCTCAGGCTTCGATGTTCGAACCGACGCTGGGTAATTACTTGGTCCCAGTACTTGTCTGGGCTGGGTTGATTGTTGAGGAACTCCCGCCCTCAGATGGTTTTTGAAATTTTTAGTAATGAAATGATATCATGCTTGTTGAAAATAAAAGAAAAACTTCAAAAAAGCCTAAAAAGGCCATTTGGAACGAAAGCCCACTTTCACCATTTGTGATCCCAAAATGACCACAAACATTCCAAAATATGATTGACCAATTTTGTCCTCGCCTCAGCCGGCATGCTATTTTTGTCCTTTCCCTTTCAGTTCAAGGGGGGGAAACAAACAAACGGAGCCCCAAACCCACTGTCCCCCTTATCAGGCTTTCTCTCCCTCCCTTCCCCCCCCCCCACACACACACACACAAAAAAAAAGGTAAGGGGAAGAACCCCTCCTCACCTGTTTTCGTTGCAGAACAACACTCAGCCGCCGTCAGGTGCAGAGAGTCCAGGCGGAGCCTCCTCATCGCCAGACGTACTCTTCTCTTCATCATCAGTCCCTTCTGGAGGCAACAATGATGATCGTCACGTTGCCACATCCACAACCGAGATGGTAGACACCATATCTGCTGTTGGAAAGAAGCAAGATGGCAACAAAGAAGAGTTGTCCTCAGAGTCATTGGCAAATGATGAAGCAGTAAACACGGACGGCACAGATGAATCGTCAGGTGAAGAGAGGACAGATGACATCATCTTCAACAAACGGGACAGAATACCTACACGAGACAAGGACCTGGCCAACCTCCCTTACATGCATACGAAAGCACTGAACGATAGCGAGTTGCAGCTTGCGATCTCCTATCTTAATGATTATGAACCCATCAATGGATCGTCGCCATCCATAGCCAATCACGGCGACAAAACCACACAATTCTCTCCATCCGAGCGAAGAGCCGAAGACTTGACCTCCTCCTCCTCCTCCTCCCCCTCCTCCTCCTCCTCATCAGCTTCCGCCTCTTCGTCTAGAAAAAGCAAGGCTTCCGATGAACCAGAGGTAGAAGAGGAGCGCTTCTCATCCTCCTCTAAGACTTCCTCCTCCTCCTCCTCCTCCTCCTCCTCCTCGTTCTCTTCGTCTAGAGAAAGAAAGGTCGCTGGTGAACTGGAAGGTGTAGGTCACAACGACGGAGATGGTGATACAGATAGAAGGAATGAGGATGGTGGGGATGGACATCAAGGATCAGAAGAACAAGCAGCAGTTGAGGGTATCCCTTTCCCCACGGTGAACGGTGCAGTGGCAGTGGATGGTACCTTCCCTAAGTCCCATGATGATTTCATTGCAGTTGGTGAGGACGATTATTCCCAAATGGCAGGTAATCCAAGGAATGACTCAGATGGGAACTCCTGGGAGCCCTATTCGGTTATTCCCGTAGTGATGAGCAAACTATCTGTGGGACCTCCTGGGAGCCCTATTCTTGGTCCCTGGCGCCAAGGACGACACAAATGGCGCTCTATCGGCCGCGTATCAGAGGACCTGTTGAGGTAAGGTGCTAAGACATAGGGGTAACTGCGCATTCCTATGCTATATGAAATTATTACGAATTGCTAAAAATTTGCTATTGTAATGACCCGCCAAAAGACAGACTGAGAACACTGCTGATTTCTGGGATTTGCCGCTCGAACGTATGCCTTGCTGAGATTCCCGCATTCTGCTCTGATTTCTAAGTCTGTGTGTGTGTGCATGCCTGTCTTGAGTGCTTGTCGGCCTGAGTGTGTGTGTGACCCGCAAGGGTACTTGCTGGTTGAAAGGCCCCGCAGGGCTGGTACTTACCTGTGGTCGTGACTTTGAGGGTTGCAGCGGGGAAAACACTCGAGTAGCGGGGGTAGGCCCGTGACACTTAGAGCAGCGGGAAAAACACTCACGTAGCAGGTAGGCCGGTACCAGTCAAGTAGTGGTAGAAGTGTCGGGTACTGGAGGCTGAGCAGAAGAAGACCAAAGTTGGCATTTTTAGAGGCCCAGTAGCGGTAGGTTAGAGGTAGGCCGGTACCAGTCCATGTAGCCTGAGTCTAGGGCTCAGAGGCTGCAATGATGTTTCCCTCCGAAAGGGAGGAGGTACAGGTTGCTGGGAGGCCGCTCGGCCTAGGAAGTCACCGCCCAAGAGGCCAGTAGGCCGCTATATCTTCAGGAAGAGCAAGCAGCTCCTCCTCATTTGCGGTGTGCAAGGATTGGTGACATACTGCTGGAGCCAAGCGCTGGACTTGGAAGCGCTGCTGGGAGGAGGAGAGCAGCTGGGCACTCAGCCTGGCTATGGTGAGCAGCCCAGCCTGAGGAGGAGGAAGAATGGGGCGAAGGAGGAGAGTGGCAAGGTACCTACCTGGCTATGGTGGACACCATCTTCATCACCTTGTTGGGCGCTGCATCTGGAAGGCCCCAGTTGGGGTAGTGCCACACCAAGGAAGCTCGAGGCAGAGTCAGGCATGGCGGCTTAGTGAGCAGCGGCATAGCTGCTTTGTGTTGTCCTTTGGACAGGAGTGCAGTGACATAGCTGCTTTGCATTGTCCTTTGCACAGGAGAGAAGAGCCCTTAGTAGTCCGCCATAGCCTAGCCATGTGAGAGGAGGAAGAAGGGGGAAGCCATTGCTATGGTGGATCTGTTGTTGTGTCAGCAGTAAGAGATTCTGGTTCATCCACTCACTGTTATTATTATTATTGGGAAGAAGAATAAGATTGGCGAAGTCAAGGAGGAGGAGGAAGGTGGAGAGAGAAGGGGGATTTGTCAGTGGTCTTGCTGGTGTACATCTTCTTCTTCTTCTTCTTCTTCTTCTTCTTCTTCTTCTTCTTCTTCTTCTTCCTTCTCTCTTCTTTGGTCTCTATCTATGCAAGTGCTTTCATTTCTTTCGCAATTGGGTGGCATTGTCTTTCATTGTGAATTTGCACTTTGGGAATGACCAGGATCGTAACACTATCCTGTTTTTTTTTTTTCGGTCTGATGAGGCCAGTCGTCAACGACGTCAACTGTTTCGACCCTGAGCTGTATCTCGGCTTGCCATCGAGTGCAGTCACTTTTTTTTTTTTTTTTTTTTTTAAAAAAAAAAAAAAACCTTCTGGCTCTGGCTTCTTTCCTTGCTGGCGACCGCCAGTGCGGTTCCTTAAAAAAACAGAACCATGCGGTCAGTCCGGTTCCTATTCCACGGGCAAGTCAAAAATTACATAGTGGAACTCACCCACGCCCCTCCCCGTTGTGGTTGGGAGGTCCCAGTAGACAGCATTGATTTTGCCCCGCAGGAGGGATGTACCACCTCTCACCCCTGCCTCTATTAGCCTAGCCATCTGCAGTGCTGCCTCTTTAAACTCTCTTGTAATCTCCTGAGCCCCCGCACTGTCATCAGACTGCTTCAAGTCCAGTCACTCCCAATCAGTTCATAGGAAAATTTTCAAACTGACTGATTGCAGTTTGTGAAGCCTGTCTGGAAGGAGGATAAAACAACGCAATAACAACGACAATGGGGGAGAGACAATGTAAAACAGCAGAGGACACAAATCGGACACGGACTGACGGTCGCTGGCCTGATCAGATAGCTAACTAACATATGTCAGAGATCTCAGCTCACACTCAGCAGGGAGGGGTCCCTACACGAAAGACACCTTCCTGTGCGTCATGAACTGACGAAAGCAAGGTGGGGAGGGGAAGAGAAATAGGAAGAAGAAGAAGAAGAAGAAGAAGAAGAAGAAGAAGAAGAAGAACAAGAAGAGCAAGAACAAGAAGAAGAAGAAGAACAACAAGAAGAATCAGTGCATGGCAGCAACTAACAATAATCTTTCCTCCACTTTGATCTCCTCTCCTCCAACTCGCCTCCAACCAACATCACAGATCTCAACTCGGGGAGTTCCACTGTCAAGACAACAACAGCAACTCTCTCTCTCTCTCTCTCTCTCTCTCTCTCTCTCTCTCTCTCTCTCTCTCTCTCTCTCTCTCTCTCTCTCTCTCTCTCT